CATTGAGACGGGAACGGTGGAATGATGTGGTTCCACTCATGGAGCCAGGGGATGACATTGATGTTGCTCGTGATCCAGACTGTATTGATCTTGGTACAAGTGAGTTGACACAATGTTTTCCAGACTCTCGTATGCTTGTCACCAACATGGCGCTAGTTGTTCCTGTATGGGAAGCTGTCAAACTCTCTGCAGCATTTCTGTCGCGAGCTCCGCCATCAGTACAAGACTCGAGTTCGACGGCAGATCCTCGCAATCGAAGGGAGATGTTGTTGCACAAGGATAGAGAATTGTGGGAGGCAGCTGAACGAGCTGAGATTCAAAAGATGGAAGAAAGGCGAGTTTGGGAAGTGGTCCCGAGGTCTGATGAAACTCGAGGTAAAATTCTTGCGAGAGCGATGTGGGTTTATTCCTCAAAGAGAGATTTACATGGCAACATTCTGAAGAGAAAAGCAAGGTTGGTTGTGATGGGCAATCTTTTACCCACGTCCGAGGAGTTGTTTGCGCCGACGACGTCGATGGATAACATTCGGTTGTTACTCAGCATAGCGGCAGGAAATGGATGGATTATCGCCTTCCGAGATATCGCGGCCGCGTTCCTATACAGTGAATTGAACGAACCGATGTTCATGATACCGCCTGACATCATGGCTTTGCCTCCGAATGTTTTGCTCAAAGTAACCAAAGCGATATATGGGACGCGAACAGCTCCGCGACGATGGTGGGAAAAGCTGTCTCGAGAATTCCTGCGTCTGGGCGCGGAACCTGTTGGCCATGATGAAATCATTTACAGATATGAACACAACGGCTCAAGAATTCTCATCACGACATGGGTGGATGATCTTCTTCTGGTATGTGAGAATCAAGAAGTCTGTAATTATTTTTTGGACTGCTTGAGCAAGGTATTCGACTTTTCTGGTAGTGAAGCTACAGGTACATTCCTGGGTATTCGTGTTCACCAAGATTTGACGAAAGGAACTATTACCTTGAGTCAGAAGCATTTTATTGAACAGCTGGTTGAGAAATTTGGAATAGCTCTTCGTTCAGTGTTTACTATCTTGCCTGGAGTGTACATGCGGAGTTATCATCTAGAGGGAGAATTGTTGGATAAGTTCTCGGTGAGACAATATCAGGCTCTTCTTGGAACAATCTTGTACGTTGCTAATGGGACAAGAGCTGACATTTCCTTCGCGGTCAGTCTCTTAAGCAGATTTGCACGGGCACCCAGAGTGCGTGACTGGGATGCATTGGTTCACTTGGCGAGGTATCTGTACACGACGAGAGATATTTGTATTGTTTACCATCAGAGAGGTGTATCTGTTAATCAGGAGGTGTTTCACAATGAACTCGTAGCTGCGAGTGATAGTGACTGGGGGACGGATGTCTTGACGCGACGAAGTCAGTCCGGATGGGCTATCGTAATGAACGGAGGAGTAATTTCATATGGTTCGAAAGCGCAGAAAGTCATATCACTTTCATCGTCAGAGGCAGAAATCTATGCGACATCAGTAGTCGCCAAGCATATCAAGATGTATCGAAGCTTACTTCAACAGTTAGGGTTTTGCCAGCAACGTCCGACGATGCTCCTGCTGGATAATGAGCCGTGTATTCGTTTGTTGACCGAGAAACGAGCATATTCTAGACTGAAGCACATCGACTTACGTGCTAAGTTTGCTGTTCTCATGGTGGATGAGGGAGAATTACTTCCTGTGAAAGTTCCTACTAAGT